TCTGTAGCTTAATGCATTAATTGTGTACTTTTTAGTACAGGGAAATATGTTTTAAGCTTGCATTCTTCCTTAATTTAATAAATGTACTTTAGAGCTGCTGGAAAGAAAATATGTTTTGTCTCATCCATGAGAATATTAGATGAGGCCAACATGGAATTTTCCGAGCTTCTATGTAGCTCTGAAGGACATAACCCTTCCTAGAGTTTAGGGAAACGCTCAAGGCATAAACTGCAGCCAGAGCAAAAGCCAAATCAGCTTCAACCGTTGATAAATATGCATTATGTTATTTTTAAAATTTAACTACTGCAAATATTTCATCAACTTAAGAATTTAGCCCATGTTATTGTAAACTATATCAGAGCTTTACATCCAGTCCCATGTTTTACCTTTGGTACTATGTCACATTATGTTTTGTTTTTTTCTGTTTTGCAATTACATGTATTTACATTTAAACTCGGATATTTCAATAAAATGTTTTTTTCAAATGCATTTAAAACTCTTGTCTATGTCAAAAACAGAGATTTTGATGTGTTAAAAAAATTTTAAACACTAAAATGTTCTCCATGGTGACAGTTTGTCATATCTTCTTTTTTAACTAATGAGAATTTAGCTGAATCTATTCCTTTGTTTTTTAGCTTTGCAGTCATCACTGCAAAGCTGAATAAAATTAGAAGAAAAACCAGGAACTTTAGGCAGTTCCTTCTCTTGTTCCTACTTTTTATTGAATGTGTCGCTTATAAGATGAACGTTTCTTGAATCTACTAACACACTGTGTCCTAAACAGGCAGCATTTGTAATTTAAGTCTAAAATAATGTGGGTGCACATTAATATTTATAAATAGAAAAAGTAGTCATTGGAAAATATATACGTAGCATATTTGGATACAATCTAATCCAATCCAGAATAGTCTTAAACTTCTTTAATGTAAACCCAATATGCAGAGAGCACAGTTAAACTGTTGGCTTTCACAGCAACGAGCAGGACAATGAGAATAAATGACAAGGCTTACATGCCTCCAGATTGCCACAATCAGGTAACGAGATGAGCCGGCAGCAGTTCTTCCTGGTTTGTAATACTGCCTTCGGCACGATGCTATAATACGGTAGTAAGTTTTACATTCTTATAACAACCTTCAGGGATGTGTCTGTTTGGTCACACATTCATTATTTTGTTCCAAAATTGGAGCCAGAGTCATAAAAGAATATCTGCAGAGAGAAGAAGGAGTCCCTTAGCAGATGGTGTGGCCCCTTCAGAGACCCGATAAAAATTTCAAGTCAGTAAAGGGAACACATGAAAAATGGTATCGACTTGAACATGCAGTAAACTCAGGAAAAGGCAACCTAGAGACATTTTCAGTTTAGAGAAAAATATAATAAACAATATTAAATTAAGAAATTGGGACGATTGTGATTTAATTTACTTTTACATCTTAAGGAATAATAATCAGGTGTAACAGCAGGAATGTGTCTCTTCTCCTGGTGTTAGCATTTTCTTAAGAATACAATGAAAAAAGTGATATCTGTAATAGAGTGTTGGGGTTAAAACGAGTACTGGGGGTGCGTTCAGACTCAAGCATAAATTCAACATTGATCATCTTCTGCTCTCTTTTTCCTCTGCTCTTTTCTGTCTTTTTCCTTCACCTTTACATTATTTCCTACCATTTTATTCTTTCAATAAACAATTGTTCTACTTTCTCTACAATTTCTCCACCAGTCTTCCAGTTTCTCATCTATTCATTTCTTTCAGTCCTCTATTTTAACGTGGATTTCATTTAATCCCGGGCCTCTCAAAAACATTAGAGCATAGGCCTGTAGCACAATCAAACTTTTGTTGAAGGCAGCAGATCGCTCTCCCCTTTGGCTCTGTCAAGTTTGTCACATGTGCTCAGTGTGAACCTCCTTTCACCTGTAAAGAGTCCAGGGTGTTAGTGGCGAATTTGCCAATCCTGGTGGTCTTTGGCAAACGCCAAGCATCGTGCACGGTGTTAGGCTGTAAGCACAACCCCCATCTGTGGATGTCGAACCCTCATACCATACTCATGGAGTCAGTTTCTAACACACATGGACACATGCACATTTGTGGAGGTCACTTTGCAGTTCTCTGGCAGTGCCCCTCCTGTTTCTCCTTGCACAAAGGTGGAGGTAGCGATCCTGCAGCTGGGTTGTTGCCTTCCTCCATGTCTCCGAGTGTACTGGACAGTGTCCTGGTAGTGCCTTTGGAGACTATCCTGCAAACCATTTTGTCACAGCTCACACTGATGACCCTTCCTGAAAGAGCTTTACTACCTGAGCCCACCAGTGTGGGTTCTAGAGTCCGTCTCATGCTACCACAAGTGTGAAAGCACCATCAACATTCAGAAATGACCCAAACATCAGCCAGAAAGCATAGTTACTGGAACATAAGTACCGAGAAGTGGTCTTCACCTGTAGAACCACTCCTTTATTGAGAATGTCTTGCTAATTGCCAAAAATGTCCCCCTGTTGTCTATTCCAATTGCACAACAGCAAATTAAACTGATTGTCAATCAGTGTTGCTTCCTAAGTGGACAGATTGATTTCACAGAAATTCCCTTTGATTAAAGTTATATTGTGTTGTTTACGTGTTCCCTTTATTTTTTAGGAGTAATGTATATTCAAATTTAAATTCTACTTTAAGTTAACAGTGTAATTAAAATGAGTTGGCCAAGTCTTTTTTGCATATCGAATCAAGTCACCCTAATTTACATAGGCTACAAACCAACTTGAGCATCTTTGCCAAAACGATCTTACTGATATTTTATTAGATTTATCACAGAATTAAGTTCATTTAGCCAACTCATAAGTGAAATGTCAAAACAGCCCACCTTACCACAGGTACTTGTTAACTGTGACCCTTCATTCCACCTGTACTCTCATCAATAAGAGCTGATCACGGCTCTGTCTTTACAAATGTTACTGTTTTCTTTCTGTCTTTCCACATTCTGCGGTCTTGAAGGGAGAGTTTTTTTTACACATAGTTTCTTTTGACTCCTCTCAGCTTTTCATCTATCTCAGTTTCAAAGCAAGTGCATACCACTGTTCCGTAATATTACAAAAAAGGGACTGTCCCAAGAAAACAGGGATGCCTGTTCACCCTATAATATTTTTCTGTTGGTTGTCACTCTGTTGCTCTTATCTCTTATCTCTGTTTCACTAATGTTCCAAAACTGCTGTCTTTCTGGTTTGAGCAGTAGTATTAAATACCCAATCCAACAATAATTTATCAATTCCACAGGGAAATTAAATGTGAAAGTGCTCTCTTCATAGTTACAAATTATCCACGGTTTGCGGTTGGAAAATTCTGCTTGCCATGTGGAGGTGCATGAAAGTTAAAATGAAGATGTTTGGCTGTGCAGGCATCCCAAACTCATCAAGCATAAATCAAGCTTAAGGAAGAACAATATTTAAAACTACTGATTTTTGTATGTAATCAATGCATTGTCAATAGAACAATTGTTCTTAATATTTGCAAACTGACACCCACTTTTATGCCTCATTATTTTGTGAAATGATTTCATAATCTACTGCAATGCTTGATTTAAAAAAAGACTGGATTTTTGTTTAATCTAAACTGAAAAGAGATACAATTTGGAATGTCCATGGTCAATTTCGAGTCAAAAAAATGGCAGCTTAGTCCTATGTGAAGAGTAAACAAAGCCTTCGTACTGGTCTGCAGAAACAAAATTCAATGACCATACAGAGGGAATAAAAAAAAAGACAATAGATTGTATTACAGAATTTGAATATTTTATTTTAGCCTGACTTTGTACAATTACTTCTTTGATGCCCCTTTTCATTCTTTTGGACCTCGCATTTTAACTAGAGCTGATGTTACAAGTGAATTTCCCCACTGTGAGATGAATAAAGTCTGATCTTATTGTATATTATCTTGAAAGACCTTTTGTTATAAGATATTAAAGCAAATACAAACTTGCAGGTGTATTTAAAATAGCAAAGTACTTAGGTAAAGCTTATGATGTTGTCATAAACAATAAACAAACTGTAACTAAAGTTCTCAAAAGTGATCAAACGAAGAGCAAGCCTGACTATGAACTCTTTGCAAGCCTCTTTGAAGAGTGCTTTGCTTTTCTGATGCTATTGATTATGTAAAGCCCCCCCCCCAAATCATGTGATTGGGTCATAAAACCTTTCGATGAGTGTTATCACTGGTGTTTCTATGATGCTATGACACTTTGCATTGACACATGTAAGTTTATTTCCACCTCTCAAAGAAAGAATACTAAAAATCCAGCAAAATTGCTGCACGGCAAAAATCTGGTAATCTAAAATGCCGAAGATACATCAGTGGACACATGAAAAGTTAGCTTTTATCCTCTTTATTTTTACTTTTTCATGGAAATAATTACCTTGGGTGGATTATCATGAAGTGATTTTATTTATTACTTTTTTGTGGGGTGTTATGGACAAAGTGAGTCCATTTATCCCAGCATAGAGCAGATTTTGGCATGCAAGAAAATGATAACACGGTAAGAAGTAAAAAATTATGGATTTTAATTTGATGACAGGTTATCAGTCATTTGTAATGGTGGAGTATAGTTGGCTTACATTTGAGTTGGTTGTCATTTTCTTTAGGATCACCTAATTCCAAAGAGGTACCTCATGTTGCATAATATTTACTAATATATACATTTATGGGTAAAATTTGGATAATAATTGTAAATTTATATGCCAAATTATTATTCACAAACATCAAAGGTTGAGAGCTATTAATCCAATTATCTAAAATATCTTCCACTTGCAAAGTAATTTTGAGTATAACAATAAATTATTGATTATAATTTTCACTTATGATTATGATTAACAATCATAAACAAACCAATACAGTTGCACAACAAGAGTTGTGATCTTACTAAGATCCTTCAGACATACTTAATGGGCAAAAGAAGAAAGCAATGACATAAATTGTACAAGAAGGTAGGTTTTGCAAAAAAAAAGAAAAAAACTAAACAAACACAATTTACCTTCTGTGTCTTGGCAGAGGCAGAATGATAGCAGTAGGAGATGAAGCACTGCGGTTCCCGTTACATTCATCCATTTGACCCAGCCTCTTGACGGCATTGCCATTAATCGCATTCTAACCATCCTCACCACCATGCTTCTCCAAGCATCCAGCTGTGTAGAAAGGGGAGGAGATGAGAAGACATTAATGCAGGTTGGTTTCAATCATTATCCACAGCTCCAGCTGTGTGAGCAAAAAAGAGTATCCATTGACTGGTGGCTTTCTTGCTCACAAATCAAAGGAAACATTTCAAACCTTTAGTTGTATGGATTACTTCAACAGTTGCTTGACTTTCAACGGATGTCAGTAGAAAGCAATAAAAGGTTAGAGCAGTGTGTGTTCTCTTCAAGCTAAGGGGAAATTGTCCTCTTTAGAATCTTGTTCCACACATAATCTACAGTATCTCAACTGTACACATTTCATCCCTACACAGATAGGCTTTAAAGAATTTAATGTTTTCAACTTGACATTTCTCTTCATTACATTCGTAATGTAAAAAAAATAATAATAATATTTAATTTTAAAAATAAAAGATACACTGCAATCTAAAAAAATGTATTTGGTCTTTATTCTGCAGGAACATCAAAGTTAATCACTGACTTTTAAGATTGCCAGGGAGAGAGAATGAGAGGGAGAAACAGAGAAAACAGAGAGAAGTGTGGATATTGATAGGAAAAGAATTTTAGCGGTTGATCAAATCCCTGAGGTTCCAACAACATCTGAGATCTTGCTCTGAAAGATCTGCTACATTTAAAATTTTACATGGATAACAAGCATAAGATAATTCATTAGGCTGACAAGTGCTTATGTATTTATGCAAGTGGATCTTTCCAGTTCAAGCATAGTTTAGGATTAGAATAATTACGCATCGCAGTGGGAGCAAAGAAAGAGGAAAAAGGTCTCGTGGAGTTCATCACTATGCTCCGAGTGTACTGTATTCTCATGCTCCTATAGATTTACAGTTTATTGGAGTGATTTCAACTCAAACTCTCAAAAGATTATACCGAGTTATCTTACAGTAGTAGCCATTCAAAATGTTCCCACTTTACTTTATGGGCCCTTGGCTGGTCCTTGGCTGGTCCCCTAAGATTCCTTTTTTAAATATCAATCTTTGTATCAAAATATCTTTCTGTCATGATTTGTGGACAATAAGATCTAAAGAGAAGTACCATCTCCTGGTCAGACCCTGTAATTCAGTGAAAGGGTGGAGTCAGAGTAAAAAAAAATGCATGCCCAGGAAGAGGAGAGGGGGTCATTCCAGTGGCTGGAAGTTGGCTGCCATTTGGCTGGCATTTAACTGGGAAGGGCAGTTTGAATGGTAACTACTGTATAAAGAAAATTAAAGAGTATCATGCTTACAGTAAATGAAGCTAAAGTGTAAATGATCTGTGAGATGATCTGGTCAATCATCTTACAAGATCACCTTCATTTACTGTAACTCCTGGCCCAGCTTCTCTCTCCTGCACGCAAGCGACCTTTCACCCACCTCCTCCCACTTATCCTCTAGCTTATTCCACCACCAGTGTCCGGGCCTTGGGGGAAGACTACACTAATCCTTTTCTAGATTACTCAACGAAGCCTATGCTGATTCACAACATCAGTCTTCTGCCGGGGCCCAAGTGCCAAATAACTTATTTAGTTTACGTCTTTATCTACTTCTGTCTCCTTGAACCCGAGTCGGCCTCAGCAGATGGCCGCTCACTCTGAGCCTGGTTCTGCTTGGCTTTCTTCCTGTTAAAAAAGAGCTGGTTTTCCTTAGATAGAAATACTTTGAAGAATATATTTGTTTTACCTGTATACATAAATCTAATGTTTTCAAATTTAAACCTTTCATTGTGTGAGTCTCTCAGGTTGAATACACATCTTACACCAAACTGTCGGTACCCCTAATTAATTGAAAGAAAAAAGAAAACACAATGGACGCAGAAATACTATGAATCTGACAAAATTATTTATACATTAAATATTAATGTAAATTAACAAATCAAAATCAGATGCTATTTTTCAAACATGCCTTAACAAAATTTTAAAAATAAAATAAGAAAACTCTTCAAACAGACCTGGACGAAAACAATGATACCCCTGAAAGAGACTGGAAATAATGAGACCAATAGAGCATGTTAAATCAAGTTGTGCCCGCTAATTATTAACCCAGGAGTCTACAACCTTGTAATCAGTCAGAGGACCCACACTTAAGGCTTAAAGGTAGTCATCGTGTTGATTGCCTTAAAAGTTTGTGCAACAAAATATTAGGTTAAGTCATAATTTTTGTCCAAGCATGTTTCATAACATTAGGCCTGGTTGAAAAGCAATGACTGAAGTAAATTTCTTCTTTTCATTTTAGTTTTTCTTTCACATAACAAGGGGCACCAACAGTTTTTTCAACGTTAGTATTTATCAAGCTACTATGATAGAAATTACCAGGCAGACACAAAGTCTTTGCCCGAAATTTCAAAGTGGTATTTGAAATTGGTTTATGTGACAAGAAGTGAAAACTAGATGTCTCAAACCATTAACTTTTTTAAAGGATGACAATTCAGGTGCATAATGTCCGTATGTTCTCAGTGTGGCATTTTTCAACCATCCATTTAGGATTGTAATCAGATGTTTTAGATGAAGTGACTGAGAAAGTTAAAGGAGAAAACTGATGACGTCTAACATTGTGAAGATGTTAAGCCTTAAACAAATGAATCATTATATGCTAGCTGATAATGCATCCCTAATGTGAAGTTGGACCTCCATAGGGGCATTATAAATAGCTATTTTATTTTTATATGACTTGGCCACAGGATAGCTGGGGAAAAAAATATGACTCATTAGACTAAGTTGCATCCCACCCATTTGCTCTTGCTTTTAGATCAGAAAATCAGTTACAATCAGAAAAAAAAAATGTTCACCTTTACTATATCTAAATTACATAATTAGTTAACTTAGACAAAGACAAAATCCAGATAGCTCCAAGCACCATGTGCCAAGTCATCAAATGCTCTCAAATTGTCCATCATGATGTTTTGTAAATGTAGAAGTAGTGAATCATCTTTGCATAGTGATGCAGTTTTAGCAATATGTCTGTGAGGGCTAAGCATTCCTTAAGCTAGTAGAGTTTTAAGAATATGTCCCTAATTGTAGAACCTAAGGCTCCTGGTTCAATAAATCTACCTAAGAACTTATTTTAATGCTTACTGAAATAGTTAAAAAATATATTTTCTGAATATTTCAACTGGCCAGTGTTTCTTTGTCAATGACTACCCAAAATGTGCATCTTTGATCTAATTGTGGTAGAAGCTTCATGGGTGGTTATGTTATTTAATCTTATTGTCAGCTCTTTCAACTAAGTCTTTTTAATATTCTAAGTCAACATAGCAGGGCAGCTGAAGAACTACCTTCTTTAATACTTAGAGGCTTAAACACAGCAGGGCTACAAGTCTAGAGATTCTACTCTCATATCTGAGACACATGAAAATAATAACTAAATAAATAACTAACTTATTAAAATTGCTGCAATCCCCAGTCGTCAAATGAGCATTTTTTCTGTAATTTTCTTCCCCTTTCATTCACACAGGCCTGGTCACAATTTGCAGTTTTATTGTAAATATTAACCCTTCTGTTCAACAATGTCATTTCCACTGGTTCAGTGGTGTGGTGGGAAAACATTACCAAGTAGAATAGCTTCTATTTGCAAGAGAATGGAGGACACACAGATGACATAGTCTGTGTAAATGAATGGTCAATTGTCCCCACATTTTGACTAAATAATATTTACAGAACACACAGGTGTGTTAACAAGGCTGCTATTCCTACCTTATTCTGCCCTGTTGCTTGTTATGTTGTTGTAAAAATGCATTTATAAGATGACACTTATATTATTTTGAAATATATAACATCATGAAAAAAAAAAGTCTGGCATCTACCAGTTATTCTGTTTCCAAGTTTGCAACATGACAGATTGTTAAATGTTATTATTCATTTAAGATTAATATTAGAATATTAAACCCCACAAAAACCAAAGAAAAGTACAAAGTATGAAAAATTATAGATTTAAGAAAATTGAATATCTTCATTCCATTATTCCAGGTATATAAAAAAAAAAAATCAAATCCAGTTCGTCTTATTCACATTTAAAATTGAAAAAATAAATGGTAAAAAAGCTGTACATTTACAAAAAATAAAAAAGTAAATAAGGCAAAAAAAAAAGACAAAACACTGTTAGATGATACAAGATGTGTAAAACAACATTTCATGGTTTGTTGAACCCAGGAAAAAAGCAAAATTGTTTAGCAAACCCATTCCATAACTTATCAGCAGCAAGTTTGATCCTTCAGTGCTTCAGTATAGTCTTTGGATCAAGCAGCTGGTACTTATTTAGCAGTTTTCTTGACATATTTTAACAAGATTAAGTAATACTATTAATTATATTCTTTTTTTTATTTGAGTATTATTAGTTTGAATAAATAAAACTTAAATATACTTCATCTCAGGGTCTCTTTAGTGCTCTTTGTAATGTACATTATAATTCAGTGGACAACAGCTGGAGTACATTAAATCACTTCCAGTCATATCAATCAGCACTTTCATAAACACATCCCTACAATTAATATTACAAGCAAGAATCCAAACCACCGTATCATCGCTTCTAAAAAGCATACATGAGATCAAACAATTAATTGTTGATTATTATCATTTTTAATGCAGGCAAGCACCTGCACAGCTTCCAAGAAAATAAGAATAATGAATAAATTATCTCTCTTTATGACTCACCAGTTGTTATCACTGCAGAACAGTCCCAGTCTGGATCAGTTCAGGATAACAACACTCAGAAAGTGTTTGAGCCAGGAAGGGTAGCTGCCTCATGTTTAATTCTCTTGTCTTCTTTTGACAGTACTGTTGCAAACAATTGCAGACCATGCTGTAAGCATCGGAAACCAGGATAAAGTGTATTACGACTGAAGGCACTTTCCCTAGCTAGAACTTCAAAAAGTTTTATTCCTCCAGAGAGGAGTGGAAGTACACCCCAAAGAGAGAAAGATGTACTCAAAGAAAACGAAACATGGAAATTTGATGGAACCGGAGAGACAGGGGCCGATCAGACAATGAGAGGAGACAGGAAGGAAGG